CCCCCCCCCCCCCCCCCCCCCCCCCCCCCCCCCCCCCCCCCCCCCCCCCCCCCCCCCCCCCCCCCCCCCCCCCCCCCCCCCCCGCGGACTTCTGTACTTCTTCGTACTTCTTCGTACTTCTTTGTACTTCTTGTACTTCCTCGTACTTCAACAATATATTCATTTTTTTCACTTTTACATCATATTAATGCTAGTGTTATGGAATTTATTTTTAATAGTTACAGCGCACCTCAATTGATTTCTCGCTTGGACATATTTTTTGTTTTTATTACTATACTTCTTTTATATATTAATCTACTATATATAGTGAGAAAGGAGGGCGCGCTGCATCTTTTGGTGTATTTACATAAAATATCAAATGCAGTTTAGAGTGTAAAACAAGGGGAAACAATCTGATTTCTTCGATTTCCTTAATTTCCAGTGATTTTTAGTGCTTTTTATTACTGGAAATCAGTTTTTTGATGTGTTCATTGCACATCAGTAGGAGTCATTGGAAATGTTTAGAAATGGCGAAAAATTATGAGATATCAATACAAATCAAGCGTGGTCACTAAAAATATTGCAAATTCTGGAAAAAGAAGAAATTAGTAAAAATCATCCTAAATCAATAGAAATCCGGATTTTATTTTCAATTGTATAATTGAAGAATTTCTGCGATTTGAATTGATTTCCATTGATTTCTAACAGCTTCTAATGGCTTCTCGTGGTTCTCAACAGTCTATCATCAGATTTCCGTCGTTATTCATATCCTGAATGCTTGATAATGATTTCCATTATTGGAAATCAATTTGTTCCCCCTTGGTATAAAAGCTGTATTAGAAAATAAGGGGTATTTTTTTCTGTACGTGTTTGACAGGGTATTCGTAATATTGTAACATGTTTTATTTAGCATATATCTCGGCTGCGGTATATGACAAAATCTTGAATTTTTTCCACAAGATGCATCGTGAAACGCTCTATATATATGTATAATTGATTTCCTTTTTTGCTTCTTCTAATGGTTTCTCGTATTATCAAAATGAACAGCCTCCATGATAGTGTCGCTTCCTATCATACGGAGAATATTTGGAAGACATTGTTCTTTTGCATATATCTCGACATAAGAAAATAACAGAGCATTGAATTCTTTTTAGATAGATGCGTTGTTGTACGTTCTACAAAAGCTGTATGGACCAACTCTGCTGGCGAATTAAAATAGAATCTTAAACATTTTTAATATGATCTGATGGGACACTATTGTGTAGGTTGTTCATTTTCATTGTAAGAAAAACAGGTTAATAGGAATTCAGTCATAGAGATATATAGAGCTTTTGACGGCACGTCTTTCGGAAAAAAATCAAGATGTTATCACCTATCAACGCCGAGATATATCCAAAATATCAAGTGTTACAAAATTTTGGACGTGCAGGATTGTACAGAAAAAAGATCCCTTTTTTCGAATGCATCTTTTACACCTTAAACTGCATTTTTGATGAAATTGAAACTTATGGACGAGATTCTTATTTTAAGCTAAAGATTAATGATAGTTACAAATACAGGTTGATTAAATTATTTTTACTAGTTTTTTACAATCTGCTGTATTTCTAGGAAGCGTCAGTAGTTTTTAATCTATATACGCTTAGGTAGAGCATTGATTACACTATTCAGCTGTATAGAAAGAGAAAAAGAAGAATGAAGAAGGGGGGCAGTGAACGTAGATAGCGCCTTTACCTAACACAAACGAAGTCCATGCAGTTAGATAGTTTAATCAATGCTCTATTTAAGGATATAGAGATTAAAAACTACTGATGTTTCCTAGAAATACAGCAGACATTAAAATAGCTGGTAAAAATAGATAAATCAACCTGTATATTCATAAAGAATCCGCTTGTTGACTATTAACTGAAAAAACATGAGTTTGGCGGCACATGATCGACTCTCTCGAGTCATTCAATCCAGTCGCAAATATAATAGCAATCTTTTTTTAATTTATTGTACCGATTAGAGTTTTTCTTTCAAATAAATTTGAAGAAATTTCTATTCACCTTCATGTATCTATATAGCTGTCGTGGCACATTTTTGTACTTCTCGCACTTCTTGTACTTTTCTGTACTTCTTCGTATTTCTCTGTGCTTCTTCGTACTGCAGAAGTACTTCAGAAGTACAGAAGTACGCTTTTCCCCCCTTGGCAGATTCCATGCAGCTGTACCATTATATGAAATAGAGGGCTGCAATCAGTGTTTTCAATGGAAACCTGAAGCAAAATGTACCTAAGTGTACGAAAATCTAACATTTCACCATCTAAAAAGCTACATAAATTGTTAGTTTTTTCCCTCTATTCAGTTCACCATAGAATTGAACCGAGGAGATCACACTTTATCATGATTTAAAGATAATGCGTAATTTAATATTACGTGCAGCTTTTAAGGTTCAGATATCAAAGTGTAAAATGTTTTAGCAAAGTGTACAGTGTACACTTGCTATTATAAACACTGACTGCAATGCTTTTGAATTCAAGCTTGCATATGAGCGCAGTTTTTGTTCCAATAAAATATTGAAATTTGGTTCTATGCCTTTTCTATAAGAATTTTAGTGTACTTTAAGTTAAAATAAGAATGAAAGCTGGTAGTGGGCAATCGCTGTGGCAGTAAAAAAATGAAACACGGTCTAATTATTGTTGCTACTTCTCTAAAAGACGGGTCTTTTTTTATGCATATTGAGGCGTACTTTTAGATGATGATTTACTTTGTAGTCTAGGACTTCGACAAGGAAATACTTTATATATATTCCAATTCGATGTTACTTATACGTTATTGTCGATACTCTTTTCAACCCGTCTGTCACGGCCTGTGGGGAATGCACATTTCTAGAGTATATGCTTCAACACTTCTGTCAAATGGTGTTTCATCAAAATGTTAGTCATACGCCAGTGACTCTCACTTTGATTGAAAAAAATTACTATCTAAAAAATCTGGTCGAAAAGAATTTTATGCTCACTTGAACCTACAAAACAAACAATCCTCTTTTTCTCGCTCCAAGATAGCAAATATTGGAAATAACAATTAGGGTAGTTTTTTCAACGTAAGGGTAATTATTTTAGCATTTATCAGCATTTCAGTGTCATTTTGTAATGTTACGCATAGCATGAGAGCGTTGCTGAGGGCAAGCTCGGTAGTCAGCTTAATAGGAACTGACATGAGATGAGGCACTAAAATAGTCCTGAATATAAACAATACAATAATTATAAGCACACTCATTGCTTTCTTACTGTCATACGTTACCAATGAAGACGACGACCAGATGAAAATAGAGAATATGTTGGCGCAGTATGGAAATCTATGTCATGGTTCGATGTACTTACCAAATGTTTTTAAAAGTGAAAATTTGCTGTCGCTCAAGTGTCATGCCACGACAACAACTAATTGATCAGAAGCAGAGAAAAATGTTTTTGTAATTGTATGTCTATTATGCAGTTCCATCAAGAGCAAATTCTGTTGTATTGTTTTCTCTCAGTTGAGTATGTCACATTTAAAAGCATTTACAGTAGCGGAAAAAAATTTCCACCCACCCCTATTTTGACTGCCGCGCATAATGGGCGTTTCAAAAGCATATGTGCATACACTTCATTAAGAAAGTAGGTCAGAGACCCGAGCTCATCGTGAGTGCTTATATGCCACGAGTACTATGACGAAGAACATCTAGATCTGTTTCAAGCGTTTTAGCCAGAACAAGCTTTTTAATTAATTTTTTTACTACTGCTAATCAAACACATACCTAATTCTTTATATTGTAGCATACAATTGTGAGTCAGTATATGCTCTTTCTTTGCTCGAAGAATCAGATAATTTGTTTGAAAGACTGCTATTTCTGTATGTCTTCGGGTCATCGGTTCCAAATGAATGATTATTCGTATGCCATTTTCATTTAGTGGAATATTCTTTCATGAAGCTTGTAGGTAATAATGCTCAATTAAAGACAGAGCTCGTATCAAACTTTCAACTCGATCCATTGACCTATTACTGAGTTATGGTCTTCAAAGGGCCGTATATAAATTTTCTGCACACCAATGACCATAGCTCTAGAAAGGGTTGATGAGCATGAATGAAATTAATAGCATAGATAGCTAGAACGTAC